GTTTGAATGACTAGACCTCATTAAGGTTTTCGTTGTGATCTGGATGAAGGTTTACAGAGCAATCATTTCCTGTCCAACAATTCAAACGCAAGAGGAATTCAAATCGCTCAGGGGAAAATTCCATCATCTTTTCATTCCATTTGCCCACCTAACTTTTTCAGCGCCCCTGGTGCATTTTGTTTCATGCCTTTGATTGTGATTCTCACAGTGGGACAGCACTCATCACCCTCCGCCCCTGGGCTTCCTGTCCCATTCGTCCTTCTCTGCGGTCCTTCCCTGCCTTCTGAACTTCGTCCCTGGACAGATCCTGCTGCCCTGAGGGCTGACTGTGTGAAACAGTGCTGCCTCTCTGGTGTTCCTGTTCTAGGTCTGTCTTTATTTGGCTGAACGTTGAGCCAAAGGGTAAGTTCCATTCCAGGCTTGACAGGACCAACAGTCTTGGAGAGTCCACTCGTTCCCGTGGCACCAGTGAGAATCCTTTTTTAATGGTTTTTTGGTTTTGTTCCACATTTTTATTCGATCTACCAGGACCTTCACGAGGTAGCCGTTATGCATGGGCAAGGCTTTCTACTCCGGTAAAGAGTTACAGTCTCGGAAATCCACAGGGGTGTTACACTGCCCTACAGGGTGACTATGAGTCAGCATCGACTCGATGGCACTGACAGTATCCAGGACCTTCTGATGGGACCCCTTTAAGAGTGGTCGGTGGTGATATTGGGGTGCCACTAGTTCTTCTGGTCTAAGGGAGGCTGAGGTTTGAGTGGACTGTTTAGTCCTCGGACCCCAGGCGGCACCAGCTTTTCTGCCCTTTGCGTGGGACAGATTGAATAGGTGATTGATTCCTACTGGCCTGTTTCTTGCCACTCTTCTCTGTGAAGTTCTGCAAAGGCAGAGCCTGCATGGGGCTAGCATGTCCAGGTCTACGGACCTTCTGCTCCCAGATTAGACATTCTGTCTGCCTTCAGCCCAGAGGTCAGCAGCTGATGGCTTCAGGCCTTGGGAAGAACCTTGAAGTAGGCTGGCATTGTCGCAACACCTGCCGTCCCACCCTCCATAGCTCTTCCAGCTAGGATGTCCTTCTCCAGGGACTGGTGTCTCCTGATAAGCTGGTCTCTCATGTTCAAAGGGCATGAGACAAAGTCCCATTGTCCTAGCCTCTAAAGTCCATTCTCTTCTGGCTGCCCTTCTTCCAACACAGATTTCTTTCAATAGGACAATAAACAGCCTCATCTTTTCCTGTGGGTGGCTAGTGGTTTTGAACCGCTGACCTAGTGGTTAGCAGCTGATTGTATAACCCATTATGCCACTTGAGCGGCTAGTGGGTTGGGTAGCTTGCTAGTTAGGTAAACAATGTGTATGGCTCCCTTCGGCAGTGGGACCACGAGAGTAAGGTGTATGGAATCCTAATGAGGGGATTGATCAGTTTTAGTATCTCACTAGGCTTCAAAAAGAGCCCACCCTAGTGTAAAGTGAGCACCTTAAACTGTGGGGCACAATCCCATGTAAGGTTTTGTAACGAAATGCGAGAGTTAAAACTGTGGCAATAGCAAGCGTTTCCTGAGTGCGCAATGACCCAAACGTAATTCGACATGAGCTATGCAATGGACCCGGAATGTTTCCGGTAGTGTTTGCCCATGTTGCAAATTTCTTGGGCAAAGAGGGGTCTGCAAGTGGGGAAGGTTGCAGAAGGACTATCCTAGAACACAGGTGGGGACCTGAGTACCACCAGGAAGAAGAGGTGGAAGTAGAGTGTGTCCTGTGAATGTGGAACCTCCTAGACCCAAAAGACCGAGAGACGTACCACCAGAGATGGCAAGAAGCAGCACTAGAGAAATAGGGACAGCGGAACTGGGAGACCCGCGGGCCATGACACAGTGGGCTTCCGGGCCCAGAGAGCGAGAGAGTTGGGCACCTTGGGGCAGAAGGCTTGCTGGCAGAGCAGGGTACCTCCCGGCACGTATTGGCAGTGGCCTGCTGCTGCCCTGAAAACTGCATACTCGGCAGGACAGCCTGAATTCTGTGTGGCCATTGCAGCAAATCCTCAAACTCGGTTGGGGAGTCGAGTTAGGGAATGGTTGACGTCAGAAGAGAAGATGGAGAGTGGGTTTCGGAACTGGGAACGAGGTTGGAGAGAGGAGGCACGTCTGACCTCTGCCTTGTAAACGTAGCCGGGGGGGCTAATGTGAATAACGGTGGAGAAGCTTCCTTGTCTCTGCCCTGTCATTTTGCCAAACCCTTGTGGGCCAGTTCTACGCCATCTCACAGGCTTTCTGAACCTGAATGGACTTATGGACTTGACAATGCGAGTCCGAGTGAGTTGCCGTTATCAGGCGCTGTTGGCCTTTCCGACTCATCACGACCCTGCGTACCACAGGATGAAACCCCGCGGGGTCCTGCACCTCCGCTGACACCCACTGCGTCAACCGAGCTCATTGGGCTCTTCCTCTTTTTCACTTTCTATCACAAAGCAGGGGGTAGCAACAGCTTGACCCCCTGCCAACCACTGAGAATCAGGGCCTGGCCAAGTTGACACGTCACCTTAACCCTTAGGTCAAGAGCTGACGGTGGCACTGAAGACATGGGACAGCCAGTGGCAGAATGGGTAATGACGGGGCCAAGAAGAGCTTGTTTTCAGGGGGCACAGAGGAGCTGTGAGAGCTACCCCACCCTGAAGAAGGCAGACTCTGGACTTTCTGAGCCTGATTCCAGAGTCGTCCTCTGTTCCTCAGAAAACCCCTGGCAGTGACTATGACCCATGAGCTTAGCTGGGCTTGGCAATGGGCTATCGAAGCCACAAGAGGAGTAGAGCGTACAGAGTGTCCTGGGGAGGATGGCTGGTGTCCGAGTTGGTAAGGAGGGTGGAGAATGAGGAGTGCCTGACCTCCACTTCCCAGGCACCAGCCTGGCGCTGATCTAGACTCTCCCGTCTCCTCCCGAAGCTCAGTGAGGTCCATCACGATCATTTCACAGATGCCAAGCGGACCAGGACAGAGCCCGGCATGAGGAAGCTGGCCTGGGGCCCTCTTAGGGCTTCTCAGTTCCCAACAAACCGTACATAGAAGGGAGTTGGGCCCTGGCCTAAGAGGCCAGAGTCTTCTTCTCGGCCTAGGTGCTGTTCTCTGTCCCTCTCTGAGCCTCCTTTTCCCAAATGGCCCATGAGGGATTGCACATGGGATGTTCCAAGTGTGCACTTAGTGAGGATGTGGGGCTGTACTGAATGGGAGTGGGAGTGGGATATGGCTCGGTTGCCTGCCTCCCTAGCACCCAAAGAGGTGGCTAGACGTTGTGTTAGTCTGGGTAGACTAGAGAAACAAATTCATAGACACGCATATGTGTATAGGAAAGAGGTTTATATAGGAGGAGTTGTACATTAAGAAATGCTACCAACCCAGTCCAGATCAAGTCCATAGGTCTGATGGACTTGATACCAATCTATAAAGTCCTCTTCAGACTCGCAACACATGCATTGATGCCAAATGCAGGAAGATCACAGCCCAGTGGGTGGGGAGTCTTTGGAGCATCTCAGCACTGGCATGGGTCTCCACGGACTTCTCCAGCTCAGAGCACTAGCGTAGTTCCATGTGTCTTGTCAGCTACGTCTCCCAGGGTGTGAGTCTAGAGAGAGAGTGTCTCCCGCCTCCAAGGAGGAATTACAGGAGTTCCCAGAATCCTCAGGAGAAGGCCATGCCCACACAGAGGCCTTATTGGCTATATCCTGATTGACAGGCTAGACTCTACCCCTCCACTGTTAATCCTCAAATTGACACCGGATTACATAACGATCACAACACTGCATGGGAAACAGAAAAAAACAACACTGCATGGGACAGGCAGGCATTGTGGCCATGGTGGTGTGCAAATGGGTCTTAGACAAGGTCATCTGGGACCCAAGATGCTCCCTGCCCCCTCTGCCACCAGCTCTAGGGCCCCGTGGCCCGTCGAGTCCTGGAGTCGTTCCCACCACACC